GTCAAATTGACCAGAAGTACTACAAATAACAACTAACTCATAGAATGGGTTCTTCTCATCTAGTTCTTGTTGTTGTGCAGCCATTTTAAGATAAGTGAAAGTCTTACCCGACCCAGGTGTGCGATTAGACCTGTTATACCATTCTGAGCAAAAGAACTTTTCATGTATGGTTTTATCTGAGCATTTTCTAACTTCCTCTTGTTCTTGTTTAAACATTCTCAAATTTTTTGTCAATGTCAGCAAACTTTTTTTCTAACATATTTTTAGAAAAATTAAAATTTTTATCTTTTTGAAAATGTCTAGCGATTTCGCTATCTATATTCGAGACAAACTTTTCGACAGCAAAACATCTGTCGACCATAAAATCTTACATAGTGTAAACAAGAAAGGTGAATTTGTTCTAAAGTTCTGTTTCTGGGAATATGACAAGAACCATAAAACATTACAAAGAGCAGTCTTAAATTTGTCAATGACAGACTTGTTGACAGAGATACGCCGATTGGAAAGATGAAGTCCAACAAAAGTTCTTAGAATGCAAAGAAGGCACATGCGCTGTTCTTGAAGATGAAATAGAAAACAGAATAGAAGAGCTATTAAAGGACAAAGAACTTTTACATAAATATGGTTCTGAGAAATTTGACATAACTCCACCAGAAAAGAAGAAAGAAGAGAGAAAAGAAAGAAAAGAAAGAAAAAGAAAGTAGAAGAGAAGAAAGAACCTGAACCAGTTCCAGAGAAAAAGAAATTTGACATGTAAAATAAAATTTATTTTTAGAACATTTTGGGTCAATGTCAATGTTCTCTTCCTCTTTAGGGGCAAACACTGGCTTAGACTCTAAATCTTTTTACCAATTTACCTTGAACTTCAACTATCTTAGACTCATAATATTCATAGTCGTCTGCTTTCTTTGGTTCATAAGGTATAACAAGTTTGTATGCTTTACCTTCTTTAAGGTTTGAGAACCTTCTGTCAAAATTTTCTTTGACTGCTAACAAACCTTCTATGTCTAAGTCTTCAAATTTCGCACCATTTTTAGTCACAATAGCAAACTTAACTGGTTCGATGTTCCAAACTTTGCTGAATGAAGACTTTTCAAAATTGTAGAAGTAAACATTCAAATATGCGAATGGAGCTAACTTATCTTTGACTTCTGTCATGTACTTATTTACTGAGATGAATTTTGCCATCTTTTTTATCGGATAAAAAAATATTTTTTTTATAAAAAACGTTTTAAAATGGTATGCCATATAGCTTCTTGAATTTGTTAAGAAATAGTCTAACGCATTTTCCATCTGTCTCTAGCTTTACATGAGCACAGCCATCCTTAGTAAAATATACTTGTAATTTCTATAGTTACGCCGGTATAAAGGTAGAAGAGTCCTGTTCTTCGCTATAGTAGTAAAACTCAAACGTATGCTCGCCATAGTCTGTAATTTCAATTGCTTCATCTTCTAGTTCGTCGACAAATTCGAATACTATATCTCTAAATTTGCTTTTGTTCTTATTGTTTTCAGAACGAGTGACCCAACGCAAGTTTCAAGTCTATTGTCGTTTTCTTATATGGTTTATATGGTCTACAAAAGGTAAATTGTTAGGGTTCGGTATAAAATGAGTTGCAATGACAACATGTTTAAAATAGTTTTTTCCACTCATACTCATCCTAGCATATCCGTTTATTTGCTCCCATCCGCTTAAAACTCTTTTTGTCTCTTTTTCTGACTTCAAATGACTCACAACAGTGAATTTCATATTTCTCATCTAACAAACAAGTTTTCCAACAGTCTTTTCCAACAAACTCAGCGTACATTTCAAATAAAATAAAAAAATACTGTTTTTAAAATTTACTCAGAAAAATTTTTCTTTGTATATACGCCGTTCTGAACATCTAAAAGACTTTTGACATTTGCCAAGAATGTTCGTTTAGAAGCTGCCATATAACCATATTCTTGACAATATTGTTTATACGAATCGTACAATGACCTTTCATCTAACACTCAAAGTTAGTCTCATCTATAAACAGTTCATATACACTCTTGTTTGCTTCTAACAATGTTTGTCTCTCTTCGGTATGTGGAATTTGTCTTGGATTGAACTTAGAAATATCTAATGTCAAAATATGAGAACAAGTGGTTGTAAAAGTCAGATGTCAAAGTTTCTGCTAAGTCGTCAAAATATTCTGTATCTTGCATATGAGAATCTGACGTTCTGACAACTACATATCTTCTGTCAGAACTTTCTAACTTCATCGGAACACATTGTTTGAAACCATAATGAAGTTTGCAACATTTTCACAAACTCTTTGGTCTTTATACTTTCTTTCAACAACTCCAACTTTGTCTGTTATAAGACTCTTCAAAGCATCTGAGTTCAAAACTTTTGTTGTATCTATACTTTGAAGTTCATTGCAAACTATAAGTTTCATATTCTCTATTGAGAGTTAAATTTACCGCAGATGTTTTCTAAGTTTGTCATATTCGGTTCGAATAACCTTCTAACAGTTTGCACAAAATATCTGTAAAGAAAGTGTTCTTACCAGTTCCTTGTTTTCCAATTATAATGAGAGCAGTTTCATTTTTAGCACTTGGATGTTGTAAGATGTTTGCAAACCAACATAAGATATACTCATAAACCTTTTCGTTTCCATTGCATATAATTTCTTTGACATGGTCTAACCAAGCTTCTATAATATTTTCTTTCCATTCTACTTGTTCGTATTTATATCCAGTGAAGATAGAATAGAAGTTTGGAGAAGGTGTATAAAACTTTATACCTCGAACTGAAAAATCTTCTAACTTTGACAATAAGATATCCCAAGCATCTAACATCTTCATTCCAACTTGTACGACTTTTATTTTCTTAAGTTTCTGTCTACATTCTTGTTCTGAAACTATTGTGCTCTTGGTTTGTTAAAGACAACATCCCATTCTTTCATGACATAACATTCTGGGGCAGAGTCGACATAAATGACTAAACGTTTCAAATTCTCGACTGCTTTGTTATAGTCTCTAAATGGACACATATTTCTGAATGCTTGGAAGTCATAAAAATCTGAAACATCTATTCTGTACATTTTTATAAAAATAAAAAAAATATTTTTTTATTCTTGAGCTATTTGTTGCATTTGTTGTTCTTGAGCTATTTGTTGTTGAAGTTGTTCTTGTAATACAATACTTTCACCAGTTGCATCTTCCAATTCGAAACTTTCTGCCGTCATTGACAAATACATAGGACATAAAAGTTTTACAGGAACAAAGTTTGCGTCAACTAATGTCAACGTTATACTTGCCAAAGTGTTTGAGTTCACTAAGGTTGAAAACTCTGCATTCGAATGAACAATAGGCAAACCAGCAGAGAAAGTGTTGTTTATACGCATAAGTATCTTTTGGTCATAGTAGTTTCTGTCGACATTCGAATAGCACTTTGAACCTAAGTTTGAAACAATATATAAAATAGGTGTACTTAAAGTCAATGGAATAGACATTCCTTGTATGACACCTTTTCCTGTTATAGGAAACTGTTGGTAGTAAAAACCAGATATAAGTTTTGTATTATAGCTCATATCGTTTATAGTAAACTCAGTCGGACATCCAAACATAATGAAACCTGCTCTAGTTGCAGCACATGTTACACTCGTCCTTAAAGTATTAAATAAGTCAACAAAACCTGTTGGTGGTATATCTGAGTAAGTATCTTCAAAGAAGTATTTTTTACCATTCACAACAATAAAATCTTCTGGTGTCAAAAGAGCAAAACAAGCTTTAGTCGTCATTGTGTTTAAGGTCAGTTTACAATATCGTCCTTGAGGACTTTGTAAGTTTGTTGTTATAGAATTATATGACTCAGGGTTTTTAGTCGTAATAGTATAAACCACTATGTCTTCTGCCATTTACTTAGCAATAAATTTTAATGAAATGTTGTGGTCGTCAAATATTTTTATGACGTCTGGGAAACTATATTTTAAGTTCAACGTTTCACCTCCTTTCATAACGTATATCTTGTCAATGACATTATATGAAACACCACAGCAACTAATGTCGGGTTCTATTTCTTTGATGTTTATATCGTCTGCCTCTGTCAAAAGTTTCAATAGTTCTTTCAAAACTTCATGAGGTGCGATGACATATGAGTTCACTTTTACAGGGTTGTGCTCAACCAAGTTTAACATTATACCCAAAGCTGACAAATCTTCTCCTGAGTTTTAAGTTTGTCTTTAAGTTGTTGGTAGTCGTTTCGAATATCTGCAACAGAACTTAAGTCTCTGCTAACTTCAGGGTATGGTGGTTCTTTTACAGGAACTATTGTTATACCATCTTCGTCTTCGTATGGTTTCCCCACTTCAACATCTCTTTCTTTGACATTGACAACAACACTTTGACTGTTTGTTTGAGTTGGTGAATTTAACTTCACATCTGCCACCGCCATTAAACCTTTTGAAACACTTACGCTTCTATTTTTCGGAAATGACATTTTACTTAGAATAAAAAGATGGACGTATTTGAGTATCTCTTCGAATTGAAGCAAAACAAAGTTTACACACACAAAAATACAAATACATTGACAGAATAGTTCTTTATACAAACAATGGTAAATGTTATAGAATAGCAGTCTTTGCTGAACCAAATATTTTCATAAAGCAAAGAAAGTTGGTATAACCGAGATGGTGAAAGTTTTGAAGCAGACAAAAATATAACAACAAAACTGACGATATTTCTAAAGGTAAGTTTATAATACAATATTATATCAAAACTGGCGTACTGTCAATATTTGACGGAGAGAAGTCAGTTCAAGAACAACTTACTGACCTGCTGCCAAAATCTGCTCGATGGAAGCTGTCGTTATGCCAATCTGAGGAGCCCAGCAGGTTTCATCGAACGAATCTTCAAAAGAGCATCTTCCGTGAAAAGTGCTATTGGTTTTGTAAACTTCTTTGCTCTCAGTTCATCTGGACCGTCTCTGTCACCAGTATATTGTATTTGAACTGTACCAACAGTTGAAATACCACCCATAAAGTCTTCTGAGTCAGCAAATGGAATGCCAAGCCAAAAGTTTGAACGGTCTCCATTTGTATATTGAGTTTTTTGACCTCCTGTATGAGTCCATACTTTCACATATGGCATAATAGAACTTTGCATTTCAGGGTTAATGGTTGTTGTGAAGTTGTTGTTAAAGTTCATAGCATCTAATGTCAAGTTGTATGACCTCATATCCTCAACTGTAGAATATTCTTCTCTTGGATAGTATTTGCCATCTATGTTTATATGATATTTAATACCAGGGTTGTAGAAACAAGAATAGTCATTTATAGTTCGTCTGAACAGTACAAACATAGTATCTGCATGTTTCATTGCAGTTGTTAAGGCAATATCTGTTCTTGCACCTGGGTCAGCACTTTGGTTTCCAACTTCACCTGCAAAGTCTTTGACAGATATTTGGTGTATAGGGAACATAAGTGGAACTGCAATATATTTGGCAGCTAAAGCATTTGAAATATCTGGGTCCAACATATAGACTGCAAGTCTGCTTTCTATTCTCTTGCATTCAAATTTTTCGCATGTGAACTTAACTGGGTCCCAAGCATCTCCAGCAGCATTGAAATAATAGTTTACTTCAGTGTTGAGGTTTGAGAAACCAAAGTCTAAGTCAACTTTGTTTTTGCAAAAGTCGGCGAATGACATTTTTTTGTTCCCACTACTTCTGTAAGAGTGAATGGGTCTTGTGTTGGTGCAATGACTAAGTTATTTTTGCTTGGAGTAAGTTCGATAGAAATTTTTCCTGCCCAGTTTGGCAAGTATCTTAAAAACCTGAAGATGAGGAAAGATGACAAAGGAACTCTAAGTTTCAATTTTACTTTGGTTACTGCTGCTGCATTTTGTCCAGAAAGGTCAACATAAACTCCTGGAACGTTAGGGTCAAGTCTTCTTATTTTCTCAATAGTTGCATACTGGTCTGTTTGTTCTCTAGCTTGTGGTTGTACTGAGTTTCTCAAAGCGAACCATTCATAGTTTGCCCATGTTACTGTTTGAACTAAGTCAGAGTTAGAATATATCTTATATCCCATGAAAACTTCTGGAGCATATTGGTATCCGACATAGAAAATTCCATTGCAACCTTTCTTGTCAGACAACTTGGCAGAAGGTTTTATTTCAATGTCTTGTTCCACGTATAAGAATGAGTTGTCAATAGAAATAATATGAAACCTGTCGCAAGCAATATCTACTGTTGTTGAAGAACCTTCTCCAAACTCACCTACGTTTCCATAAGAAACAGCAGTTGTATATTCGTAAGTTCCAGGAACTATTTCTGACCTTCTAATGGCATTGTCGCATTCGTTATACCATTCGGAAACATTTCCATTCATAGCATCCAAAACTGTTGGCGTTATATTCTGAGCGGCGTACATTTCATATGAGTAAAAATATAGAATAGTTGGATTTATATGTCATAATAGAACCCACTCCGACCAAGCTTTACTTTCTTCCTGACTGAGTTTTTAACTCTTCTTTTTCCTTCATTGCCCTCTGCTTGAAGTTGTTGCATCTTTGCATTATGTTCATCTAGTATGTTGCAAATTTCCCATGTCCTTTTTGCCTTTTGGCTCTGGTCGCCCATCTCAGGTAACCTATATCCTAGAAAGAGTTTGTCATAGTCTGTATTTGAGTCTTCGCGTATTGTTTGCATGACTCTTTCCTGAGTTTCCGGTTCAAGCTCTTCAAACAGTGCCTGTCCATATGGAATATGCTCGTTTCCAAATATATGTTTTTGTAGCCATTCTGGTTTTCTTTCCATGTTACCAACTATATCTTTTGTGAATGGGAAAGCTTCTACCCAATCTTTCAGTCTTGCGTCGTTTATTTCTGTAGTTGGTTTTATTTTGTCAAGGAACATGTTTTTCAATACTAACATTTCATCTGGTACTGTCCATTTGAGTTTTCTTAAATATTCATCCCTTCTCAGTTCATTGTCTGCAAAGTAAGTTTTTATGACATTTTGTAAACTTTCGTTTGCAAGGTCATGTACAATAGGTTCTCTTCCTTCGCTCTCCCTAACTTTCTTTCTAAACTCTTCACCAAATATACCATCTCTATGGTTCTGTGTAGTTCTTTGAGATAAATGTTCTAGAACGTCAGGTGTTATATTTCCATCAGCCATGTTCATTTCATACTGGTCCAAAATATCTGCATGTTTCATATCTTTCAATGGCATTAAAGCCGCGCTGAAAATACCAGCTATATCTCGTTCACCATTCGCTTCCATTGCGTCTACAACTTCTTGGAATTGAGGTTGTAAGTTTATGAACCACCTATCCGGATTAGCTTTATGACCCCATCTCATTGTAGTTCCATCGTCTGCAGAAACAAAAGTAGGTTTGTTTCCATCTTGGTTAGGTTCTGAATGAACTTTAAACAATGTTTCATTTCTATATGTTTTCTTGAAATTTAACCTTTTATTTTCACCGAGTTCATCCGAAGATTGAACGTTAAATGCTCGTAAGTAAAAAGGGTTGTTGTATTTGTGTACATTTTCTTTCAGTACTTTCATTCTATGCTGAATATTTTCATCTGGTGTTGGAGTCTTTTGTATGTCGGCAAACATTTTTCGATATTCTTCTACTATGTCAGCCGAATCTTTCTTAGACTCTTGGAAAGATTCCATATTCACCTCATGCTCTTGTTGAGGGTCAAGATTTTTCGGCTGTTCCAAATCTTCATCTAGTTCTGTGAAGTTAGTTTCCAAAGGAGTGACTTGTTCGTTTCCTTCAGGCTCTTCTAGCTGTTGTTGCTGAACTATTTCTTCCATGTCTGGTTGTATCTGAACTTCTTCCTGTGGAGTTTCTTGTACCTCATCTGCTGGCATTTCATATATTCCGAGACCGTTTTTAACAATTTCCCTATCTACGTCATCCGCATTCATAAGCTTTTGTTCTTTCGTTCCGTCTCTATTTTTTACGCGTTTCATGACGAAAGTTGAATTGTCATTTAGCTCTGACATCAAATATCTCGGAGTAAATTCATCCATGTCATTTGGATGATATGCTATTAAATCATATCCCTTAGCGAGCTTGTATTTTCCAGGTTTGAGATTATATCCGTTTTGGTGCTGAGCCATAAAGCTAAATAGGTTCGGGTCAGTATTTCCATCCTTGAACTTTCCAATAGCTTCTTTATATCTGTCACTAAAGTCAATACTATCTGGGAAACCACACTCTTCTTTAAGCATTTTTAAGAATTCTTGGTTTCCTTGTTCTCTACTTCTTTTATGTCCTTGCTCTGTTTGTGGTTGTTGTTGTGCAGGGTTTTGAACTGTTGGTTGCTGTGCTGGTTGTTGTGTTGGTTGTTGTGCTGGATTTTGAATTGTTGGTTGTTGTTGTTGTGCTGGATTTTGAACTGTTGGTTGTGGTGCATGCCTGTGTCTGTGTCCATGTGACGATGTAAATGTTTTAGGTAGTCCTGGTGCAGGTGCTTCTCTTGGAGGGTTTGGTGGTATATAAGTTCCACCAGCTGGCACATATGTTCCATCTGCAGCGTAATGTCCTACCTGACTTTTCGTTCTTAAGAAAGCATTTACTAGGTCTGTTTTGGTCTGTTGTAACTCTTTTTCTTGACTTTCCACAACAGTTGCTCTAACGGCGTCATAGGCACTTTGAACTGCCTGTCTCGTTGCTGCATCTGTTATTTTCGTCATATTTTGTGCTACTTCTCTTAACTCTTTGTCGAAACCTTCAGACTTCAGTTTCTTTCCAGATGAGAAGTCGTTCACTAGTTTCACCTTACTATGAAGAGCTTCGAAGGCATTCTTAAAGTCAGCATTCATTAAAGCTTCATTTGAACTGTCTTCATCCGCTTGTATTTTTGTCCTTATTGACCCTATGAGTTGGGCTGCTTTAGCGTTGGCTTGGGCATCTAACCAGTCATTGTTAGCTTTTATATATTCTGCGCTTTTCATTGCCTTTTGCATGGCTGCGTCGTTATTTTTACTTTCTTGTGCTAAGTTTTCATACTGTACGGTTTGGTTTTGCAACTGTAAAAGTTTTTCTGCCTTTACATTTGCTTCAACTTCTTTTTTATACTCATCGCTATCCATATATGTCTTCAGGGCTTTTTGTTTTATCTCTTCATCTTTCAGTACTTTATATTGAGTAGTATGGTTTTTCAAATTTATAACATCTTGTTCCATTTTTGCTACTTCTGCTGCTTTTTCTGACACTTTTTTCGCATATTCCTCTGTACTTAGTTCTTTCAGTTGTTCTTCTTTCTTCTTTTTCTCTACGTTTAACTCATTGAGTTTCTTTGTGTGTCTGTCATATTCTAGTTTCTTTTCGTTTTCACTTATTTGTTTCTGTATGTCTATGTTTGACTTTTTGACATCTGTTATTTGATTTTTGAGTGAACTCAAATTCATTTGACTTTGAGGGTTATAAGCTGTTCCGTCTGCAGCTCCACCATAGCCTGCCATTTTCGCTAAAAGTGCCGCTCTTAAACCTCCACTCTGTGCACCTATAACTCGGTTTAAAAGCATAGGGTTGCTTGACATTTGTTGCAACATAGTGGGGTCATTCATAATTTGTTGTTGCAACTGTTGCTGTGGTGTTAGTTTTACTATTGGATGTTTCAATGCTCTCTTCCTCTTACGTATATTCTTACGTAGCTTACGTGGCATTTTAAGTGAAGTTAAAAAGCGGTTTTTGACAGATGTTTATATGACACTATTTGTTCAGCACAAAAAACTACTCGGTCAAAGTGTTGTCGGTTTTGTAAAATAACCGTCCTATCTCATTCTATAAGGGGGAAAGGCTTCTCAAAGTATACTTCCTTGGAACGCCCGTAACTTTTCCTGTAGCGACGATAGACCCTTACTTGTCCGGACAAAGTTATACTATTTTGAGTGTTCTACAAAAAAGTCAACAGCGACGACTCTCAAAAACCGTTGTGTAAAAAGTTTTACCGTTGGACAAAAAAGTATATATAGAAAACAAAAAACGTTTATAGTTCATTCAATATTTGAGATGGAACGGTTTTCCAACGGTAACTATTAAATAAAATAAAAAAATAGAGGGGGTCTCCGTTGACGAAAACGGTTCATCTCAAACTCTTATTTGAAAAAAACAGTTTATTTTTGTCTAATGGCATTCGCTAGCGTGTTCGCTCCAAATTCACCTGAAGAAATTGCTTGCAGACTTTCAGCACCCACAGGTTTAGAACCTCAATATCAAACTGCAGCATCTACACATTCTCCAAGCAGAACAGACAATTCAAATTCAAATTTGTCCTGCAATTCACTCAATCCAAAGCCACTTTCACTACCAAAAACAATACCAAACGAGCTCCGTATTACAAAGAACCACAGCAACGCTGAACTACGCAAAATACTACTCAGATTGTCTGAAGAATACTTCAATTCAAAGCCAGAAGAAAGAGTTCCTGCAACTTTTAACAAAGAATATTGTGAACAACTCAACAAAGTTCTTGCAGACTTTACCAAACTACAAAAAGAAACACCTGACCCATTCGAATTAGGTGACACAATTGTCAACTATTTTCCAACAATAACAAAGATAATGGTTGACAGAACTATATGTCAGCTTATTGAAAGTCTTCCACCCAAAGCTGCAAAAAAAGTCGAACAGCTTTGGGTCGAATTCAAATCAAAGAGTTACGGATATCAGGATGACGAAGAAGAACGTGAGTACGGACAAGAAACAGCAAAATGGCAATGTCTTAGCTCACTCAACCCCAAGTTCAAACCATTATTTTACTCAGACAACAACACAATTCAAGTACGCAAAATTGCTATTCATTTCGTTAACCAAGCAGAAGACATTGAAGAAGGAGACTCTATCTCAGTTTATGTTTGCTACTGCAAGTTTTTCAAGGACGAATTTGGAGGACCAATTCTCATGCATGTCTTCAAGCCACATCAGCAACTCTACGTTGAAACTGAAATAACACTCATGCATGGAATGTATCTCAAGTTTGAAAGCCAATTGGAAAACACATACAACATTTGGCTTTCATACATTCAGTTCGATACACCAGATGACTTTGATGTTGAAGAAGAAGAGTCCTCCGAATTCACACCAGAAGACTAACAATTTTCCGAATAAAAACTTCATTTATACTAAACATCTTCAGGGCTAGAAGGGGCGCAGCCCCTGGAAGCCCCACTACCTTTTTTTTTTTTTTTTTTTTTTTTTTTTTGTAATTTGTTAATTAGTTATCAATTGAAAATGATTTCGGTTTTGACAATTTTTTTTCATGTTTTTCTTTCTTTGTTTAAATCAAGCTATTGTTGATGATATTTTTACCCCGCGTAGCATGGATTCTCAAGCAAATCCGATTTCATCCACTCCCAAGCAAAATCAAGCCACAACGGAGATAAATTCAGAAAATAAAATTTCCGTCGAAAATTTGAAACCACTTAAACTTATTAATACTGGCTTTAAGTTACGCACAGACAAGCCTCTCTTCAGACACTTCTCTCCCAAAGACACAATGGCGTATGATGATCGTCTTCAACAAAGAACAGTTTTTACTAATACCAAAAACAGACCCTCTATCGCAGGTAAACGTCCTCAACCTCGTTCTGTTTTAAGAGTTTTACCAGTTGAAAAACAAGAATCTGAAATAAACCAAGAAGAGTCACCATATTGCATTGGATGTGGTATGTATCTACAAAAAGAAGAAGTTAAACCATTAGCTTCATTCACACCAAACATGGTTAACCTTGCTGATTATCTGGAAAAGTGCCAAGATCAAAGATTCTCTGAAAAATATCCATCTTTATGCAAAGAAATTGATACTTTAGAATCAAACTTTGATTTGTGGAAATACTTCACTCCAAAAACAAAAACATCTGCAGCACCTTCACGTCGTTACAAAGATTCTTATTCATATTTTGTTAACAGTCAGGAAGAATCACAAACAAACGAAGTCTTAGATAAAGAAATATGTCCATGGTGCGGCTTTACATCACCAAAAGATCAAGCTAATTCCTATTTTGTTAAAAGTCAGGAAGAATCACAAACAAGCAAACAAACATTACAACCCCCATATACCAACATTGAACAGACAACTCAAAAAGACACTGCACCATCAAAAGATCAACTTTTACTTGAAGAACAAACAGAAAAAACAGAAGAGCCAGTTGATTACCCAAGTCAACAAACGTGCACCAATGCATCGGATTGTGCTGGTTTGCTTGGACAAGGATCAGCCTTCTATTCCCCTGGTCGTCCAAAAGATTCGAAACTTTATAAATCTTTAGATACAGGTGATCATTCACAAACAGGAAAACATTCTGAAAAGCATCAACGTATGAAATTCATTTCAGATACCAACAGTGAACATTCAACTCCAAATTCAGATGGAACAATTTGTCCATGGTGTGGCATTATATCACAAAAAGAACAAAATGCCAGAGCAACTATTCCAAAGTTATCACGTCCTAGTTTAAGAACTAATGATTTGTCTTCTTATGCAAAAAATTGCAAAAACTTAACATTCTATCTACAACATGTTCAACAATGCAATTCATTAGGCATTTTTGGTCCGGATAAAGCCAAATTTGAAGATGATTCCAAATCCATGAAGAAATCCCATAAAGAATCTGATATAGATGTTCATTCACCAGAAGAAAACTTTTGGTCGCTATTTTTCCCACCTAAAGCACACGCAGACGAACTTCACAATTCTAAATCTAACAGTTTCAGTACACTTGGAGATAAGTGCAAAGACCCAACTTTCTATAAAGAACATACTTATCTATGCATGTCATTAGGCTATTTCATTCCTACTAAAGTCCATGCCGCAGGTAAGCGCCGTCCAGGATTAGATGTTCTTAATGGTCAAGAAAAGAAACCTCTTCAACTTGTTGATACCGGTGTTCGTTTACCAGAAGAAAACAGTTTATGGAAGGAATTTGATCCAGATGATGTATCCGCTCACTATCCACGTATTCGTCATGCTGATATTTATGATGTTAATGGTGATGATTTCTGCAAATTATTCCCTAAATTGTGTGAATTATTTGGTCCAGGCAAAGGCAGCCCAGTTTATCTTCAAGATGAAATTCCATCAACTGAAAAGCTAAATAAACCTGTTAAAGATTCTGATGCAGAAGAAAACTTTTGGTGGCTATTTAACCCGCCTAAAGCACACGCAGCCGAACTTCACAATTCTAAACAAACTGTTCCAAAGAGACCTCGTGTTTTGCCAAGAGTTTTACCAGTTGAAAGACAAGAGTCTGAAACAAACCAAGAAGAACCACCATATTGCATTGGATGTGGTATGTATCTACAAAAAGAACAAAACAAAGAATCATATTCATTCGAACCAAACATGGTTAACTTCATTGAATATTCAGAAAAGTGCAAAGATCAAACATTCTCTGAAAAATATCCATCATTATGCAAAGAAATTGATATTTTAGAATCAAACTTTGATTTGTGGGAATTCTTTAAACCATTCAAGACTGCAGGCACTATTATCCGCCATTAAAAATAGCCTATAAGAAGACAAACAAGATACACCTAATTTTAACTAAAATTTAAAGCAGAAATAATAAATTATGAATCTTCGACATTTTTTAAAATTCAAAATTATTAAATATGTTAAACTGAGTAAAAATATAAAACAATCATATATATAGGATGAAGAATTTTTTTTTAATTTGGTATCTCGAAACCAAACTGTTAATGCTGCTGTTCCAAATGCAACATAATTTCAAAATCTTGATCTAAGATTATGATATTTAGAAAGTTTGGGAATATTATAACTCATGGATGTCTTACATTCTTCAAAATTATGAAAAATTATTGAAATTTTGTATTGAAACTTGCCGTTAGTAGTATATGTTGATGGGTTGTGTGACTTTTTTTGTAAACGTAAGAATTCATACAATATTGAACGATTTTGTATCATTTTTTTTAACATATGAAGTAAAAAATGTATGATTCTTACGGTTTTTATTCTTACGTTTTTGAATAAATCAAGATTTAAAAAATTTTCAAAATTGTAAGACATTTACACTCAGCCCATACATAATGAAATAAAAAAAATAAACTTTAAAAATTCATGTCTTACATTTATGAAAATTTATTTTTATTTTGTATGAAACCGATTTTAAAAATTTATGAATAATTTATAAAAAGTTTTTATTCCTACAATTCCTATATTACCATTAATAAAAAGAATATATTTTTGACGAAGTGAAGATTCGCACTTCGTCACAAAACTCCGAAAAAATAAAGTTAGATTTTTTTATTTAATATAAAATGTATGGAAAAAGAATAATATCTGATTTTGAACATTATTTGATTGATTTACTAATTGATCCACCAAGCTGTTGTAAAATTAATTTTGAATTTAAAATTAAAGGAACCGTAAATTTTGTATTTATTTATCACTTAAAAGAATATGACCGATATCATAATTTGATATATGAAACTAATATAATATTTGAAGATAACAAACTTACAAGCTTCGAACATGAAAATGATATAATATTCGAAGATGAAAAAAAAGAAAGAGATTGAAAAGCAATTCAATGAATGCCTTTTAAATACATATGCGCACATTATAAGACATAAAATAAATTATATTTTTTAAATAAAAAATAATTTTTATCTGATAGAAATAATACCTACAAATGATGGTTATATAAAAATTAACTTCTTACGTAAAAATTAAAACTAAGTTAAATTTATTTTTTTATTTTTATTTTATAATAAATGAGTATAACAACTAATTCATTGAAATTTTAAGTTCACTAATTCAGAATTAGAAAATATTTTAGAAAATTTTGGAGACGGTTCTTATCCAACATATATGCAGAATGTGAAAGAGTTTTCCAGATTGTTGAATGAATTTAAATATAACGGACCAATTACTAAAAAGGCTATAATGAGATATTTATATCCCAAAAAAGTTGAAAAACAGGAGAATATTCCTCTTTATGGTCCAGAGGACCTGGGCTCAGAGAGCCTTGAAACACCTCCTGAATATTTTGAAGAAAAAATTAAACAAGATGAATATTATAACGATGAGATTGAGAAATTGGAACAATTAAGAAATGAAATAGATGAAAAAATTAAGGAATTGAGAAATGCTGAGAATGAAGTAGAGGGTTTAATGAATATCCCAGCTTCAGAATCAGAAGTTCAAAAATCACATGAGGAAAGATATAAAAATTACTTTTTGGAATCTACTAAAAATTTATTAGATGGTGATATTGACGAAACACTTTCAGAAGAAGGTACAAAATTTATTCATAAACATAAGTTAGTTTATTGACGATGGAGATTATCCATGTATATTACTTTCACCTCCTCTTGATTCTGAAAAATTCAAAAAAGCACTGAAAAATGTAACATATGCAACAAATACGATTAAGAAAGAAGACCATGATATTTACACAAATTATTATTTAAATAAATGTACAGGTGTTGATAAAGTTTTTGATTTGTTAGATAAAATATCAAAAGAAACAATTGGTACATATAAAATTTTATGCGATTGTGGTTTCATTATTGAAGATACCAATAATGTTTCATATGAAAGAACAGCACCGAAGGAAGACGAAGTTGAAAGGTCTATACCATTCGTTATTAAGAATATAAAAGATATGAAAACTTATAAACATTATATTTATTCATTTATTTCAGAAAAAATGGAAGCAACCCATAAAACATCATCTCATCATTTTATAGCTATTCATACATTCCTTTTCAAAGTTGTGAAATTAAATAAGACAGGAATTAGATTTAATGTATCAGGGTACGCATTCTTGAGTAAATTAAAATGTATTCGTCACGTCGCAGATGATAAAAATTTATGTGTTCTTAATTCATTTTATGGACTTTAGCCCTGGACTCTCTGAGTCTCGGACTTTAAAAAAAATAAACTTTATTTTTATTTATTTTTTAATTTTTATTCTTACATAAATGAACAAAAATGGAACAGCTAAAATGAATGATAATCAAATAAGAGCCGAAGGTAGAAGGTTATTTAAACGCTTCTATAACATTCCTGATGGTGTTAATCCTAAAACTCGTAGAAGTTATTTAAATGAAGCCATAGATGCATATGAAGGATTTGACATTTCATCAGAAAGTGAGAGGTTAGCAAGAATGTTAAACGTTAATATTGATTATTATTGTGACCTCAACCAGAAGACGTAGACATTAACAAGGTAGACTTTCCATTAGTGGAATCAATAATGATAGATCCAGAATTTGAAACAGTAAATATTTTATTAACACAGAGTCCATGTGGAAAACTTCACGCTGACAGAATACAGACGTTGAAGCACTCACAGGATATAAAGTTTGCCCCTTTTGCAAAGAAGAAGTATATTCTATCCGTGATGATCCAGAAAGGAAAAACCAAAGAAGATTTTTAAAACATTGTGAGAAATGTAAAGAAAATAATGGAAGATTAATTCAAGACGTTCAATTGCAAAAACACAACAACCATATGCACCACATATCACGAAACAGAAGATATATCAATGGCTATTAGCACATAATTTGCAGGAATATTATAAACCAACAAGATATTATATTACTTTTGACTTCGAAACATTAGAGACTAAAGAAGAACTTCAACTTTCTGAATGTGCAACTTTGAACGCTTACTTAAAACCATTTATGGTATCATCAACTGTCAAAATAAAGCCGCAAAGCGGCGAGGTCGTAGACCGTGATAAAACATTTACGAGGAATTTTTGCTTAACATCAAGTGATTCGTTCATCTCTGATTGGATTGAATTTTTATTTTCAACCTGTTCATTAGTTGCTAAATCAAATATTGAACAATATGAAGAATTAATGAATACATTAAATGAGAAACAAAAGGAAGCAATGAAAGAGCTTTTAGATGAAGAATTTAATAAAGTGAATATCATTGGTTTTAATTCGGAAAGTTTGATTTAAATTTAATTCTTCGTGATTTAAATACTGCAAAATGGAAGATAAAATCAATGCTGGGTTCTTCTTCTCAATTTAAGCAAGTCATAGTAAAGAAAACAAACTGTCCATATGAATTAAGATTTATTGACATCAGAAATTATATAGCGGGTGGAACATTAGACCAATTCACTCAAGATTTCGGAAACAATAAATCACGTGTTAAATCCTTTTTCCCTTATCAATTCATCACATGGGAGAATTACGAAGAAGAATTATATAAAAAGGAACCATTCACTCAAGATTCATTTTATTCAGCATTAACACAAGAAACAATATCCGATTCAGATTATCAAATATATCTCAATGATGCTAAAAATTTTGAGAATAGATTAGAATATTTTATTCATTATTGCAATAAAGATTTGAAATTATGATTGACCCAATTGATAAAATTATCGAAGAAACATTTGTTTATAAAATTGACATGCTTCATAATCTTTCTTTATCATCGAATGCATCAATGATTCGTTACGCGTTAGCATATAAGAACTTCAATCCTAACGAAACATATCCAGAAGAAGAAAATGTGGAATCAAGTTTTGAATTAACAAAAAAGTATTGGAAATATAAAATTGAATCATATAAGAAACAAGATGAAAAAGCAGAAAGGGATACTAAAAAATGTTTCAATGGATGACTATCAATACTATCACGATTTAATCCTTTCATCTAAATGCAAAATGTGTGGTAAAGCGTTTACATATGCAAATAAACCAACATTGGATAGAATCGATAATGAAAAACCACATACCAAAGAAAATTGTCAGTTAATGTGTTGTTATTGCAATGTCGTAAAATCAAATAAAGATGAAGATGTTCAACGTTTAAGAATCAATTTAAGAAATTATGCATTAAAAAATAATTTACCAATGACTTTAGATTCAGTTGAAGCTTATCACATTCTCCGTAATGGAATTACTGGTGGTCTATCAAATGTTCAACATCGTGTTAATCTTAAAGGAATCACGCACATTAATAAACTTTCATATAATCCAGAAACTAAAACTGTATCAAATGAGGACACCACCAACATTATGACTCATTTCGTTGGAGTTGACTTTAATTCATTATATCCTTCATCATTTTCATCTAATCCTCATGATTTCATTCAATATACTGACCATAAAATGTATATGCCGGGAAGATTGAATGGTGTTATCATTTGTGATACAGCAACAAAGAAAGCAAAAGCACTGGGAATAATTAAGAAGAAAAATACTTTATTCGTGGCTGAAGTAAAGGGTCACATTGATGAAAAATACATTAATGATTACATAAACTTTTTACCGATAATAAGAAACTTAGATATTATCACAGATGAAAAAACAATTGGCAGTTTTATGTATAATTACATGAAATCAAACAATCTACCAGTTGACCAGAAACAGAGAAAATTAACTCAGTTAGCATCAACACACAACCAATATCAACCATTTTCTTCTTATTATCTTTGGTATCTAATAGACAGATTTCATTTTATCATTGATGACATTCAATCAATTTTAACATTTACTAAAAACACTTGTTTTAATGAATTTGCGAAAGAATTTATGAACGAAAGACAAAAGGCTGAATTAGAAGGAAATAAAGGAAAAAGTTTATTTTGCAAGATTTCACTTAATGGATCATATGGTTACGATGCAATGAATACACAAAATTACGCAAAGACTAAAATAATGAATGCACAGAAGTCACGCGTTGCATGTATGTCAAATAAGTTTAAAAACATAAGAGAAATAGGAGAGATACATATCAAGTGATGCTTAAAGATAGATTTTATAGATGTGATACATGTTTACAAGAGGCATTCTTCACTTTAGATAATGCTAAATACTGGTATTTGGTTTTCATTTATGATTTTATGTATAAATGCATGATGTTAATCGTTTTCATTTCATTGAAGGTGATACTGATTCATCTTATTGGGCAATCGCTGGCGACCCAAATCTTCCTAACACTCAAGCATTTCAAGCAATTGTTACCGATAAACAATTTTATGATAAAAACATTTTCAAATTCGCACCATTTGATTTCTTCTGTTTTGATGAGAAATTTAAACCTAAATTAAAGAATAAAGCTGAAGAAAAAGCACATGAGAAGAAGTTATTGGGTTTAGCAATTGAGAAACAAGGTGATAACATGGTTGCTTTATGTCCTAAGTGTTATACATCATTCAACGGTTCAATTGATGGAAGTGATTTTAAAAAGATTGCACAAAAAATGAAAGGTGTTAGTTTACGACAAAATAAACAATTAACACCTAAAAATTATTTGGATATAATAAATGATAAATTGATATTTGATGGTCAAAATATTAATTTACAACTTAAAAATGGGTCAATGACTCGCTTAACAATTGGTAAGACTGCATTAACAGGAGCACACACTAAGGCTGTATGTTGTGAAAATGGATGTTGTATGCCATTTATTTAATGAAATGCCACAGAAGAGACAAAAGGAACCGTTAATGATGCGTTTTGATGGTTTTGATACTATGATTCAAAGAGGTGGGCACCCTTAAAACATTGATTTTATTTTTATATAAATGGATAACACAGATTTAAAAATTTTAATTGCTGATTTAGTACTTAATCAAAATTTTCTTGATTATTATGATTTAAAAGCATATCTCCAAAAATATATAACAATATAACGGGTGATGATATGGAATATTATTATCCATATTATAAAAATGAAATTTTGAAATATCATAATAAAATAATTTCTGAAATTAAAGACAAAATTAAAAATAATGAATATTCAAAGGGAAAAACTAAATCACAGCTTAAACAGTTGAAAGATTTCAAAAATAAAGTATTAACAGAAGAAGATATTGATGAATTATATAAATTATATAATCCTGAGCCACAAAAACAAAAGGAACAAAACACCCAGGTCCTTCAGACCATAAATGATGCACAAGCTTTAATTTATGATTCATTAGTTAAACCATATTCAGCCCGACTTTTAAATGAAGATCAACTTTTGGAATTCATCCTTCAACATAAACTCGAAGCGGGAAAGTATATCAAACCTTTATATACAGCATATTTAAAACAAATGAATAGAATACATCCAGAATTAATGAAGGAAGGAATGAAATCCAAAATCAAAGCAGATAAAATTAAACCACTTGCAACACCAAAACCTCCAACGACAGTACCGCCTCCTCCTTCAGTTAATCCTTCATCATTCACTTTATTATATCCATTTCAAACATTAAAGAAGCAAAAAGATTTTAAAAAGGATTTCAAGATATTAAATAAACCAATTGACCCGAAAATTCAACCGTTAAAGGAAAAATTTAGTCGCCCTTCATTTGCTCCATATCCATATTCATACGAAATCGATCATCTGGAATATTCAAAAGGAAACGTTACTTATTTATTTGCCATTAACATTAACACTAGATATTTATATTGCATTCCGGTGAAAGGGAAAACAGAACAGGAAACAAGAAGAGCTATTCAATACTTACTAGATCATGAAAGAGTAGATAATATCAGGGGTGATGGTGATAAAGGATTTCAGGCAGCTATGACTCATTATTTCCCACAAATTAATTTTTTCTTTCATCCTCTCCATATACGTTTCATAATAAAATAGTTGATGCGGTAATGAGAACTCTTAGAGATGCGTTAGGGGTTAACGGTCAGATATACTGGGATGGAAATCATGACTCCATCATACAACAGTTAGTATATTATTACAATAATACATGGCATAGAACTATAAACATGAAACCAGTGGAAATGAAAAATGATATTTCAAAAGAATGGGAATATATTAGAAAGCAAATGGAAAGGTTGAATGATGTTAAACGTGAACAAATTAATTCGGGGCTCATGAATTTTAAACAAGGGGATAAAGTTTTGATTCATCTCGATTATGGAAAAACTGATAAATCAATGACAAAAAGAAGACGAAGATTTGACACAATAGCTGAATTTGTTAGATATATTAACGGCAATGCATTAGTTGAAGTTGACAATAAATTAATAGAAATTCCGATTTATTTTATTACTCCATTATATTTAAATAATATTTAATTTTTTTTATTTCGTAAGAAATGAGTGACAACAAAGCAGTCAAGAGTCCAGACGATGAATATAAAAAGAAACTAAACAGAATTAAATCAAAAATATGCTATTACAAAAAGAAGCCACAATGCGGTGGGGTTGATGCATAAAACTAATGGAACTGAAAACGATAAAGAAATAATCGAAAAATTAGAAACTTACCGTTCAATCCTTAAACTGAGTGAAGCAAAAATAAAAGAATTTAATAGAATAAATAAATTGATTGGAAGAGATGAATTTAATAAAGATGAATTTTTAAACTCAATCCAAATTTAATTTTTATTCCTCTTCGACAACATCTCTCTTTCCATCATTACTGCATAACCACATTTTCTCAATTTTAGTGGTTTGTTATTTTTAACATGTTCTTGCATCATTTTTATCATTTCCTCCCTTGTTATGATTCGTGGTAAATTTTGAGCTTGTGGGGTATTCATTTATGATAAAAATAAAAATTTAAATTATGCCGTTCTAAAGTTTGTGACAACATGACATTTTGACAACATTATGGGTTATTCAATAATTAATTATTTTTGAAGAACTGAAGGGGTCACCAGGTCACCAGGTCACCAGGTTAATTAACTTCTCTTAAAAAATGTGACAACATGACATTTTGACAACATCATGGGTTATTCAATAATTAATTATTTTTGAAGAACTGAAGGGGTCACCAGGTCACCAGGTTAATTAACTTCTCTTAAAAAATGTGACAACATGACATTTTGACAACATCACAGGAGGAAGGCAAAAATAAATTCCAGTCATACTTTATAAAGCTTCATTCACAGGTATTTCATCGTCAGTAAATGATTCCTCATTATCGTTTGGTTCAATTTGTTTATATAATCCTTTCATTTCTTCTTTCAAAACATAATACCATGTTTGTTTACCATCTATTTTTCTTTGTTTCCTTTCACATTTATCCTTAATGCTCATTTGAAAGTTTTTGTCTTTCATGTCTGATGGTTTGCAGAATAGAGCATTTTTACACGTCATACCTGCACATAATTCATCATAATGTGTATTTATCCATTCATCTAAAGGATTTGTTGATAATTCTATTAAATCTTGTTTGGCTTCAGTCATCGGTATGATTCGTACATTAAATGATGAAAGGTCATATTGCATAAAATACGTCAGTAAATTATCATAAAATTCCTTAGTGCATGAATCCATTAAATTCTTGAAGTAATCAAATTGACCCTTGAATTTACCATTAACCCTTAAAACTACGTATCTTCTGTCTCCAACTTCAATTTTGACGGGGTAGACGTTATTAGTTACGAAAACGAAATTGGCAACATTCTGAGCTGTTCTTCTGGGTTGATTCTTTTCATTAATTCTAATCTCATTATCCGTAATAATTGATTTCAAAGCGTTGAAGTTTGCGAGTCTATCTTCACCTACATTCTTGAGTTCATTAAGTACAAGAAACATTTTATTTTCAACTACTGAGTTGAAATTACCCGTTAGCTCACTTATTTCAGTAATGTTTTTACATGAATAACCAGCGAGAAGTTCAGAAATAATGTCTGTGAATCTGTTTTTACCTGTTCCCTGAAGTCCTTTCAAAATAATTGCTGTTTCATTCTTGATTCCAGGATGTTGAATCATTGATGCAATCCAGCCGAGAAGGTATTTATACACTTCATCGTTATTATCACAAATGGCTTCTTTAATGAAATCCATAAACATCTCAATTTTTGAGTAATCAGGCTTTTCGAGAACGTTGTATTTATAACCTTGAAACGTTGAGAAAACATCTGGAGAATCAGATTTAAAGCAAACACCCTTAACGGTTAATGAGGATAATTGATTTAATAGTACGTCCCATGCTGTTATTGTTTTACCTTCTTCTTTAAATAATTTAATCATTTTGAGTGACTCTTTCATGTTTGATTGAAGAACGAATGATATTTGATTCATTTTGTCGTGTATGTTGTAATCTTTCTGAATGAAATATTTGTTTCCACAATCTACAAAACGGATTACACGTGATAAATCCTCAATTACTTCAGAACTGTTTTTATACTGATGATTTTCAGCCTTGCGTCTAATATCTGTTATCAAAAACGAGTCATCAAGTTTGATATCAAATGTTATTTTTGGCTTACGTAATAAAGGTAAAACATATTCATCATAATATTCCTTTTGATAAAGTTTTAGAATCTTCACCAAAACAAATGGAGAAGTCATTAAATGTGCATATCTACTACGTGCTTTTTCAAAATTACTTTTAGCATTTTCTGTTAAACTGCAGAAATTATAAACGTTATCGTATGCTTCATTAATTAAATGATCCGGTAACGAATTAATTGCTTGAAACAGTGTGAATAATGTTATTTCTTTTTCTAAATTCATGTTTCCACCGTCATTATGTACTTCAAAATCACAGATGCCATCAACTATGCTCTGAGCTAGTTTATCGTCAATGTTTACATCTTTGTTTTCATTCATGATATTCTTTATTTCTTCGTTCTTCTGTTCAACTCTTACCTTAATATTCAAATCATTTAATATATCATTCACTGTTCTAGTTAATGTTGAATCATAACTTCCACGAATGAATGAGTATGTATTGATTGGTTCTGTTGCATTCTTGCGAACTCTTGATTCAGCCATAACCACTAATGAACGCTTTGAATCATCCATAGAAGTCATTATGTCAATATCATAATCATTGCAGGAATAACATTTAATCATTCTGTTCGAAACTGCATAGAAGAAATTAGTGTTGCAATAAATGTGAAGACCTCCTGAAGCGGTTTTAACAATAACATCTTTATCCGAAAGTTTTGATAAAATGTCTTTTCCAACTGTTTCTTTAAGTTCATCATTGTACGATTTATTGATATCAACATCTATAATCGTTAAATTTGAAATTTTATTTACTAATAAAGCTGTACCAGTTTTCCTTCCTCTTCCTCCATCATGTTTGAGGTAGTTATGTAAATCAATCCTGTTTTCACCAATTCTTTCGTTGAGGGTTTTAGTTTCTGCCACAACTAATTCCTCAGCTAATGAATCAATAACTTGTTCATCAGAAACGATATAGTTGTTGTTGTTGCTGTTGTTGTTTGTTGCTGTCATTTATATAGGAATAAAAAAATAAAAATAATTTTAAAACTAACTTTATTTTTGGACTGCATCAAATTTTCGTAAATGTTGTCTAAATGTCATGTTGTCACATTTTTTCAGAGAAGATAAATGACCTGGTGACACATGGTGACCTGGTGACACCTTCAGTTCTTCAAAAATAAGTCATTATTGAATAACCCATGATGTTGTCAAAATGTCATGTTGTCACATTTTTTAAGAGAAGTTAATTAACCTGGTGACCTGGTGACCTGGTGACCCCTTTAGTTCTTCAAAAATAATTAATTATTGAATAACCCATGATGTTGTCAAAATGTCATGTTGTCACATTTTTAAGAGAAGTTAATTAACCTGGTGACACATGGTGACCTGGTGACACCTTCAGTTCTTCAAAAATAAGTCATTATTGAATAACCTGAAACCATTAACGTAAACATTAACGATAAAATTTATTTCTGCAGTTCATCCATTACTTCATTACCTAATTAATTACAGACATAAAATATATTTAGTTCATTCAATAAATGCGGTACCATGCGAATACAGTCATAAATGGTGGCATATAATCTTCACCCAAGCCTGTTGGATTTGTTGTGAAAGTATGTGAATGATTTCCTCCTGGTTCAGTTTGTCGAAAAGTCTTTTTTGCTGAATGGTTATAATCTGGAGATAAAACGTCATAGCCAGCTTCATACTCTGAGTTGTATAATGGGTGGTCTCTTAATGAGTGGCTATGGTCGCCAGAAAAGTTTGTCGTTCCTGTATGAGTGTGCGGTGGAAGGTTTTCAATATTTATTTTCTTTGAGCCTCCTGTTTGCTTTGAAGAGTTAGCACAGTATAAGAATTTATCTACAATCTGCTTCCACGTACCAAAACCTAAAACTGTTGCTGGATTTGTTGAGTTCATTGACGTATAAATAGAACCAACGGGGTAAATCATCTCAAGAATTGTATTTAATCCATTATGAATATTGAATTTATTATATAATATTGAATTTGGGTGAGTATTTAAAACTGGTCTTGTTATCAATATTAACGTATTATTTTTGAAAATTGCTTTTCTAACATCTTGAAATTTTGTGATTTCAGACCAGTTTCTTCCATCACTACTGATATTTACTAAATCACCACATCCTAAAGCAATGAAATACCCATCAATATAAAATAAATTTGTAAATCTATAATTTTGAGTAAGTTTTGGAGTGAATGAATAAACCAATTCCCAATTTGATAAATCCTGTGATAAATAAATATGTCTGTTATAACTTACAGGATATGAATAGACCATTTCACCTGAAACGAGAACATAAACATTTGATCCATAACATAAAGCTTCAATGTCTCCATCAGCTTGAAAAATTTGTTCAAATTGACCTTGTTGTATTGAAGATGATCTATAAATTTTATCATTTTGTAGGATAAAATACATGTTGTTAATGTATACCACTTACTTGTATAATCAATTTCCAAATCTGATGACATCATACTAAACATATATATAATTTATACCCATCCTCACTATGAAATTTGATTGACTTCATAAATTAGTACCCATTTTTATTAACGCATCTAATAGGATTATTGAATATTTAAATTTAGCATCTTGATTTAAATTACATTTGACCATTGGATACAATCGAATGAATAACAAGGGTAAAAATCATCTCCAACCGTTATCATTCCATAAATTTACCGTTATTATATTCAACATATAATTATTTGGATTAATGATTGGCTCTGTGTATCAGGATTCAAAAACAGATGGAGTAAATGATTCATAGTTTTTAAAATCATTTGTTTTAAAATAATAAGAGCTCCAGCTGTATAAAATAAATACATGTGTCACTCCATCGAAACATATCCATTCAAAAGAATCTATATCAAAGTTTTATCTGATGATTTCATAAAATTTAAAAATGGTGGAGTAAAATAGACCTCTGATTGTTTTATTTCTTCATTAACAAATGATATATTAGCTTTCTTATTTAACTCACTATCCACATATTCCTTATCTGCCTTCTTATTTAACTCATCGTTAACATATTCCTTATCCGCTTTAAGGTCTAAACATCCTGAAACCCATCCTGTATCAGCTTTAGTTTTTAAAATCTTTGATGTCCATTCATGATACCATTCAACCATTTCTTTAATTTTTTATCTTTTTCATCAACGTAAACAAATTTGCCTTCTTATTTAATTCACTAGCCACATATTCCTTATCCACCTTCTTCTCTAACTCATCGTTAACATATGTTTTATCCGCTTTAAGGTCTAAACATCCTGAAACCCATCTGTATCAGCTTTAGTTTTTAAAATCTTTGATGTCCATTCATGATACCATTCAACCTTTCTTTAATTTCTTATCTTTTTTCATCCACATAAACCAAATTTGCCTTCTTCATTATGTCATTTAGGGGAAACCTTCTATGAATTCCTCATTTAAATTAAATCTTCCAATCTTCAAAACTTTAGGAAATGCATTTAATGCGTAATATCTCTGTTCTTCTGGTGGAATTGATGTTATATCATCCGTTATTCCTTTAATTTTTGAATTCATAAATAAAATTTCTTTTATATTTGATATCACTGCACCACCTTTGCAAACGAATTCGAAATGGTCATTTTTCAATACTATCTCCAAATCTCCATATTTCAACCTTTGCGTTTGTTCTGCCGTCTTTGAATTATATGCATATATGGCGTATGTAATGGTCTGAGGGACCTGGGTGCTTTGTGCCTTAAGTTGTGTGGTTGCTGTTGTTTAATCATTTATTATGATTTAAAAATAAATATTTAATCTGTTATCTCATCAGCTATTTTTTCTATTTGAAATTGCCATAATATTTCATTCATGAATTCTAAATCACAATCAAATAGGTCAGTTATTCTAAATTTAATATTTGATAAATCTTTTGAATGAAGAATAAATGAATTCCCGGATAATTGAAACGGATATGATAAAGAAAATGTGTTTAAGTTGATGGATAAAATGTTTTGTATTGATGGGTAAGAGTTAGGGTCTAATGTTTGATGTGAAAATCTCATTGGGGTATTAACTTTATCACATTTGATTAAAATGAAATTGGAACCAGTGTCAGAATACAAAACATCCCCAACATCTTTTTCAAAATTTAATATCCCCAACAATGAACGAAGATGAGGAGTACAAAATTTAATTTTCAGCGGAAATTTAATAAGGTTATTTATTTCATCAAGTTCAAAAAGTTTATCAGGTTTTGATTTAAAATTTTCTTCATACCATACGATAAATGATTCATTTAAATAACTTAAAATCATGTTAATATCCCATTTCGCTATCACATTATTTATATACATATCAT